GTGTAACGAAGTGGTTCCTGTACTCTACCAGCGTTGGTGGGGAAGCTGAACTTAAAGTTCTGGGGACTGCGCTGAGCCCCTAGAGTTCTTGGACAATTCTAGAAGTGGAGACGACCTCAAAGGTGGGAGATCCTGAAGTTATCCTAATTAGTTGCGTGGGTATTCAAAATAATTAATTACAAAAAAGAGATATGACTGTACTTATATCCTGAGTTTGTGAAGCATTTCATATTACCATAAATAGCACTATATTGTAACTTTATGCTTTATATATAGCCATAGTTTAAATTTAGAAGAATTTGTGTTAGTCTTCTATTGCTTCCATAACTATTGCCAACTTAGTGCTTAAATAAGTTTATTATGTTACATTTCCATAGGTCAGAAATCTGATATGGGTCTCACAAGGCTAAAATCAAGCTTTGTTCCTTTCTGGAGGCTCTAAGGGAGAATCCATTTCCTTACCCATTTCAGTTTTTGGCAAAATTCAGTTCCTTGTGGTTATAGAACAGAGAACCCTATGTACTTGCTGTCAGCTGAGGGCCATTCCTGGAGTCTAGAAACCACCCACATTTCTCGGCTTGTACCTCCCTTCCTTCTTCAAAGTGAGCAATGGCATGTTGAGTCCACCTCTCATAGACTCTCTCTAACCTACTCTTCTACCATCTTCCACTTTTGAGGATTCATGTGATTAGATCCTAGGACCCCTTCAGATAAACCTAGGTAATTTCCCTATCTCAAGGTCTTTAACTTTGATCACATTTGCAAAGTGCCTTTTGTTCTGTAAGGTAATATATTCACAGGTTCTGAAAATTAGGCTGTGGATATCTTGGAGGGAGTGAGATTATTCTGCCTACCATAGATATATCGTGGTTTTTTTTTTTTTCAAGGATTTTTTATTTTCAAGTAACCACACACAACAAGGGACCCGAACCCACAACCCCGAGGTCAAGACTCACATGTTCCACCAACTGAACCAGCCAGACACCCCTGGGTTTTTTAATATTTAAAAATCTAATCTTAAAAATGTCTTGACTTTCCTCCGGGGAAAAGGCTAGGTTTTTAGGATAGCATTTATGTAACTATTCCTAACTTTTACTTCAGCCTGGCTCCTCATTCCCCTCCATTCATTCTATATTAGGTTTAAGTTGGGGTCAGTTGGGTTTCAGTATTTCAATAAATCTCCTGAAACAGTATGCAAAATTTCATGTGTATGCTTATTTTTCTGGGGAAAAGTTCCAAAGTTTAGGTCAGATTCTCAAAGTACTCTGTGAAAGACCTTCCCCTGGGGGCGGGGAGGGGGGACTGCAAAACTGCTTGTAAATAAATGTGTTACTTTCACACAACATACATTTTCATGCTTCCACACTTTTACGCATTCTGTTTCATGAAATTGGGTTGTGTAGTGGAACAGGCATAGGCTTTGGATCTCCCTCAGGTCTCTGACTCAAGCTAAGACTGACTAAGTGTGATGACATTTATCTAGGAAGAAATAATGAAGGGTATCAAGTTTGATGGGGAGCCACAAGATGAGAGCAATTCAGGACATGTTGTTTGATGAACCTTCAAGATAGCCAAGAACTCAAGGCGAGATCATCTTAACTAAGGGAATCTAAGAAAGAAAAGAGTCATATTGTCCACAATAAAATTAAATGTTTGGATATGACAAAAGGTACCCTGAACTGTGTTGATGCACAACAAAATAAGGGGAAATTTTGTCACATATGTGGCAGATTATCAACAAGAAAAAGCAAACTCTAAAGAAGAGAAATTCAATTTTCATAGAACAGTGCCAACAAATAAAAAATCGTTTTATTCATGAGAGCCAAAAATGTTGTCCATATATAGATGCACCTAGAAATCACTGCACAAAATAAAAGCCATCAAGCATAAGATCTCATTTACACAGAAGGGGTAGTGGACTGACTGCAAAAGAACAGTAGGGAAACCTCCTGGGGTGATGGAAATGTTTGTGTGTGCATGTGTGTGGGGAAAATGTTCTTTTGTGTGACAGGTATGTCCTTTACCTTGGTTACACAACTGAACCCATTTGTCATAGCCCCTTAAACTGTACATTTAGATTTTAATGAATGTAAATTATAACTCATCAGCAGATTAATAGAAATGTGATGGGAAAGTGGGAGAAAGCCAGGCAAAAAGGTAGAAAGTAAAGCCACTCTATTTAAAAATTGTGTTTATGGGGGCGCCTGGGTGGCTTATTCAGTTGAGTGTCTGACTTTGGCTCAGGTCACAATCTCACAGTTGGTGAGTTCGAGCCCAGCATTGGGGTCTATGCTGACAGCTTAGGGCCTGGGGACTGCTTCAGATTCTATGTCTCCCTCTCTCTCTGCCCCTTCCCTGCTCACGCTCTCTCTCTCAAAAATAAATAAACATTAAAAAAATTTTTTTAACAAAAATAAAAAAAATTGTGTTTATGATCCCATTTATACACTAATGAAAAAGTGTATGTGTATGTGTGAAAAAGCTTGTCAGCAATCCAATACTGCAATCCAATGCTTGTATCATTGGCATACAAAGGACAGATCAGGGGATGGAAGCCAGACGGTAATGGATTATGGAAGAGCGGGAGGTGGAGGAAGTGCTCACTGCATGTAGCAAATTGGTTAAGTTGTGTAGTTTACCTCTGGAGCAGCACTTAAGAATGAAAGGGATACATATGAAGCATGCTGTAAACACTGTAGTAAGTCCCAGCACATCTGTTCAAAATGACCATTTTTGAGGGAATCCACACAAAGAAAAGAGCAGCAACTCTTGAGGTACAGTGTAACATTAGTTTTTCTGGAAGGAGACAGCATGGACTGATTATGCTTCAGAGGTGGAGCACAGGAGCAAATGGCCCATGTGAGCAGACAGAGGGTTAAGCCTGAGTAGTTAAGGAAACTCCAGGTTTTCTAGAAATCAGTCAGGCCTGATAATGCCACCCAGTCAGTTTTATGTTTATAATGGAGATAATGCCACACAGTCAGTTTTATTTTAAGAATTAGTAATAATGTATCTCAATGCATAGGACATGGCACAAAATACTCAATTAGTGATATTATTATTCCTCTGCCTAGAAAGGACTCTAAAACATATTAAGCAATCACATAACAGCTGTTGGATGAATGGATGGATGGATAAAACTATGAACAAATAGTCAATTCCAGTGAACTGCACATTTTTGCAGACTGAGTTTAAATATCATTTCCTTTGGGAAGCTGCCTCCATCTCAAGCTACACACATTTTTCTCACTTAATAGTGTAAGTTTCAGAGCCAGATTGCCTGTGCTTGAATCTCGGCTCTACTATTTATTGTATCTTTGGGCAAATCAAACTCTCTACTCGGCTTCCTCAACCACAAAATGGGGCTTCACTACAGTATCTACGTCTACCTCATAGGGTTTCTGTAAATATCACGAGGGTTAATACAAAAATCTATTTGTGACGCTGCCTGGCACATAGAAAGCATTCAGTAAACATTAGCAATTGCTATAGTACCATATAGCACAGTTTACAAATTATTCACTTGTGTAGCCATGGAAGATAAGCTCCATGATCATAAGAACTTAGGTGTGCTTTGGTGACTGCCTAAAACTGTGCTCTGGGATCTAACAAGCATTCAACAAACAGATGCTGAATGTGAATACCTACCAACCAAAGACCATGAAAATGCCACAGTCCCAGCAGATGCACAACAGATGTTTGCTGACTGAAGGGAGGAATGGAGACCATCGGGTGGGAAGGGGTTTCAGACTACTGGCAGTACTGCACAAGGGAGGCAAGCAGAGACATAGGGGATATTCCAGTTTATAAACTTTTTATTTAAAAAATAAAATTATAAACAAAATACAGAAAAATATTGACACCTGTGATAACAAGGAATTGATTCCTAATTTTTAGGGTAGTTTGTTATCCTGAAAGAGCAAAATCATGAGTTTTATACAGAAATTTTATTGTGCAAAGGAGGAATGTACTTTTTAAGGTTCATTTGCACTAGGTATTTGGCATTGACAGAAAAGGTGTTTCTACGTATACATTCAACACTCTGCAGCATATTTACATTCAAGTTACATCTCCAAATTCTATGCCAAATACAATCTAACTTACCATGAAAAATGCCTAAGATATAATTCTGTTTATTTGGTAGGAGTGCAGTATGATTCTATTAAAAATAATTTTATACTCCTACTAGGTCAATTATATTTTAACTATTTCAACAAAACGCACTGACCTTTTTCTTCCCAGTGGAAGCCAAGCCTCTTCTAGACAAATTAAACACTAACAAAAACACTAACAAAATTTGGCCAGTTATAAATTTATGTAGTTAATTTCTTCCTCCCTCCTTAAAAACATTATTAAAACTTTCAATGGAAGGACACTCGTTCTAATAAATTACATTTTCTTTTACAGCAGTTAGGACACAATATGGATCCAAGTTACAGTAATTTTAACTTTTTAAAAGATGGCTGAAGCACTCTTCCCCTTCAGTTGTTACCAAATTCCAAACCCAGTTATCAAAATAAAATGCATTAAGAAACACACATAGATTTCTCAAAACTTTTCTCCATTTTCCCACACATTCCTCAAATCAGATTATTTATTCATTAACAATTTATAAATTTCTTGCTTAGTTTCTCTCAATTACACCAGGGTAGTTATTATAATTTCTTGATAATCTCACCATTTTGTGTTTCAAAGTATGATTTTATTAAAGTCAACATAAATTACAGACAGCTTCCATCTCTGCTACAGTTCTCTGAGAAATCTATCTGAACTAAGTGAAGCGTCAAGATTTCATGGGGCGTGGCTTGGCAAACAAAACACCATGGTTTAAAAATTCTCATGCCTCCAAGAGATTAGAGACAAATCAAATCTACTCAAATGTACCAATTCTCTCTTAATGATCTGAAATTAAGTTCACTTTTAAAAGTCCAGTAAGATAATTAAAGACAAAACAATGGAGACAGATGAATTTCATTTAGTTGAACTCTTTCTAATTTACTTCAGGTGGTAACTTCTCCTCCAGTACATGATGGCTGGCAGTTGGCGGTAGGCTGCTGGGTTGATACCACTTCTAACTCGGATTCACGAACAAAAACCACTGCATCACCACTTACATTTATAAGACACTGTGCCTAGACAAACAACAGGACATGTTTAATCACCAACTCAATAATATGCTTATAATTTTCTGTTATATTAGGGGCAGTGTTGCATAGCTGAAAAGCACAGGCTTTGAAGTCACTAGAGAAAAGACAGACAACCCAATAGAGAAATGAGCAAATGAAAAGAAGGCAATTCACAAGAAAACTGAAAAAAAACAAAAACAAAACAAAACATTAATACGTTTTTTAAAGGAGCAATACTGATAAATTTATTCTAAAACTGATCCTAAGTAAACAGTCTTTTGCTCCCACTAACAGAATTATTTATTAGAGATACATCAACAGGAGCGCCTGGCTAGCTCAGTGGGTAGAGCATGTGACTCTTGATCTAGGGTCAATAGAGCCTACTTTAAAAACAAATAAACAAACAAACTCTGATGTTATTACAGAAATAGATAAAGAGTGTGGCCCCATCGGGATGTACTCTTCACTAGTATGGCAGTTAGAACTGTACAGTTCATAGTCCAAACTAGAGGTGGCTTTCACAGTAACTTAGGAGCAAAACTTCCAGAGATATTTAAGAAGATCTGGGATGTGAAAACAGTATGTGATTTATGTATGACCATGGTTACTAATATAGTTATTAAAACATGTTTTAAACATCTAGAATCCAAAAGCTCTGAAGAGCAATTCCCTTTGGTTGGGAGATGAATGGGAGGATGGGAAGGCCACAGGGGAAATCCTCAGGTTCCCTCACTGGATGTTTCCAGCTACATCTCACCTGGTTTTTATTTGGGTTCTCCATGAAGACACACTGCTTCATTATGTAGGAGACAACAGCATTGCCTCCTAATGCAGCGACATGAGCTCTCACCATTGCAAACACTTCAGCAATGAAAGCATGGAGAAAACCACTGACTCCTCCTTCCTAAATAATAATATGCAAAAAATCAAACTATATACGTGGACATGAATGTATATAAAATGCCCAAATAATATATATTAAAACATCTTAAATGATCTTAATATAATAGATGATCATTTTAATTTTCCTCATAACAGGGATCTGTTGCATGAATGAACAAACCTTTACTGCACACATGTCTGTGATGGGGATTAGTACCCTTACGTTACAGATGATGAAACCAAAGCTGTGGCCCTGACTAGCTATGACCACATAGCTAATAAAAAAAAAATGGCAGAGCAAGAATTCAAATTGTTTCTCCATCTTCAACATCTCCATCAAATTGTTCCTATCATTCACACAAATTGATGGCAAATATACATAATAAAACTTCTCTGCTATCCATATCCCCCATCCTGAAGCATGTTCCAGGCACACTTGCCTTTTTATCAGTTATTCATAGGTGTCAAGCACTTTTCCTTCCTCGGGGTCATTGTACATGCTGTTCCTGAAGGCTCCTCCCCAGTTTTCCACCAGAATAACTCTTAATTCCTCAGGTCCCTGTTTATACATAACTCTCTCAGAGAAACCTTCCCTGACTCAGATCTAAATTAAGTTTCCCTGTTATTTCCTCTGATAGCCTTTGTTGTATTTCTTTATATTACTTAACATCACTAGTAATTATACATAAGTTACATGATTATTTGTTTAATGTCCACCATGCTCAGTTCTACCAGACTGTAAATTCCATCAGGTCAGAAACTGTCATCTGTTCTGCTCACAACTCAGTATGTGCGCATACTGAGTTTTCCATACATATTTGTCAGGGAATGAAATCCAGTAGTTTGGAGAATGTTTTCAGTGTTCGAAAACAAAACAGAAACCAAAGTCTAGCTGAGAGCTTAAAATGCTGTTCAGCCTCAGCTTTCTATGAATTCTACTGGAGGTTACTTACAGTCTAGGAAGAAATTTCAAACTTTAAACTGGAAGTGAATGGCAAAATTTAATGCACTGTTATAAAAAACATTTGACCAGATCACACCTTTCTAAAAAGCAGTAGTTTTGTAAAGGCAGCTCTCTTTGTAACTGAGAAACTGAGGCATTTCAGCCTACTTCCGATTCATCATAGCTCAGGACATTTTTTCTTTCACTTATATCTGTTTCCTTCCTGCCTTTTAAATCTAAAAATTCTGATGGCAGAGTAACAGAGACTACAGGGGGTAATTCTTAAAAGATTATATAATTGTAAGCAAATAACTTATCAAGTAACAAATAAATTTGGGATATTATGCCATACAGTTAATATTACAAATCTCTGTTGAAGAGAAATCCACTGTGAGGCAACATTTTGGGGCGTGGCTCTCAAGCAATAGAGAAAGCACGTAGGAAACAAAATTTTATGGATTAACATAGTGCAGTAAGTACGTGCTATTAAAAACAACTGGAAAGTTAATTTACCCATCCATACCAGCTTTTCACACCCAACTTTCTTTGTCAAATTTAAATGGACCTAAAAGCGTCACCTATTTTAATTCTATATTAAAAGGTTTTTGAGAATATATTAAGATAGCATCTTTTCTATCTCAACACAATGGAATATGATTTCCTAATTTATCATAAAGAAAACATCTACCTAATTAATCTGTCAGAAGTCATGCCCTCATTTACAGAAAAATATCTATGTCTATTCTCTGCCAGACACTGTGCCAGGTGCAGAATGGTGAGTATGATATTAAAAACATCATGATGGGGCGCCTGAGTGGCTCAGTCAGTTAAGCATCTGACTTCGGCTCAGGTCATGATCTCACAGTCTGTGGGTTCGAGTCCCGCATCAGGCTCTGTGCTGACAGCTCAGAGCCTGGAACCTGCTTAGGATTCTGTGTGTCCCTCTCTCTCTGCCCCTCCCCTGCTCTTTCTGTCTCTCAAAAATAAACAAACGTAAAAAAAAAAATTTTTTTCTTTTTAATTTATTTTTTTGGGGACAGAGAGAGACAGAGCATGAATGGGGGAGGGGCAGAGAGAGAGGGAGACACAGAATCGGAAACAGGCTCCAGGCTTCGAGCCATGAGCCCAGAGCCTGACGCGGGGCCCGAACTCACAGACCGCGAGATCGTGACCTGGCTGAAGTCGGACACTTAACTGACTGCGCCACCCAGGCGCCCCAAAAATTTTTGTTTTTAAATAGCAGCCTCCCCATTAAAAAACAAACAAA